GTTGTAGATGTCCTAGTACTGGGAAATGATAGTAGCAATGCCGTTTATCAAGAAAGTCAGGTTAATCCAGATCCAATCGGTGAATTAACCTCTGACACAGCAATTAAGCTACTGGCTGGTAGTAGCGCTACAGACAAGCTAGAGTTTAGCATAGCAAATGGAGCTCAAGATGTTGTCATCACAGTCAAAAGCGAATCCTTGGTAACTGTGGCAGATGCATATTCATTTACTGTTATAAATAAGGAAACAGGTCAAGAATATACAGTGGCAGCATCAAGCACGGCTCAAGGCGGTTTAGTCGCAGGTGCTTTAGGATTGGAGGCACTGGGTGTTATTGGTGATGATGGCAATGGCCTAAGACTAGATATTCATGACTTACCGCCAGGCGATTATGAAGTCGTGGTTCAGGGCGATCAAAGTAAATTGGCTGATATCTTATCTACTGTGAGTTTAGAAGACCTAGGTAGTAATACAGTCGAAAGTTTAATTCTAGATACAGTTACTGGCTTGCTTAAAGATGCATTGATTGGTAATGATAATATTGCTACTGGACTGTTAAAGCAAATCTCAGTAAATGAGCTACTAACTTTAATTGGTGATAACAATATCACTGGACCATTAATCAATACACTACAAGGTTTGTTAAATAGTCCTTTATTAAATAATCCATTGACTGGAATGCTAATTGGAGATTTGCTTGACGCAAATGTTGGGGATGTTATAGCTGGTAAGACGGGTGGTGCATTAGGGGGTGTACTAGGAATATTAGGTCTAGGTGATGCGCTTGATGCTGTTGTGAATGATCTAGTATTGAACAATCTTGATTCAATTGGTGAAGATTTATTTAATCTTGTGATCGAGCCATTAATTGCAGATGTACTACTGGCAGGTTTGATTGATAATTTAAGTTTAAATGAGGCTGTGAATGGCTTATTAGGTAGTATCAATAGCTTATTAAATGGTATTGGCGCAGGTGGCCTACTCCCTGCATTGGATGATGTGTTGCAGCTAGTGGCTCAAGAAATTCTAAGTAATCCGGCACAGTTGTTTAATGAAGTGAATGCCGCAGTTTACGGCGTCGATGAAAAAACATATGTTGCCGAAGGGAATGTGCTTGCGAACGATGACGTAGTAAATGGTTCAATCATTGAAGTCAACGAAGTTCCTATTACTTTCAACCAAACAGATGTAAATGGCAATTACGCTATCATTACTGGTACTCACGGCACATTACATCTTTATGAAGATGGTCATTATATCTATACGTCCACAGTAACATCAGGGAATGCTACTTCAGTGGTTGATAATTTCACGTACACCGTTCAAGACGAGTATAACAATACTGAAGATGCCGTTTTAACCATCACAACAGATCCAGTAAATGAGACCATCGATTTCTCTGGTACAGCCAGCGATGATATTTTGCAGGGTGGTGCTGGTGATGACATTCTGACTGGTGGAGACGGTGCTGATACTGCCATCTATTACTTGTTAAATAATGCGGATGCAACAGGCGGCAATGGCACAGACACTTGGACTGACTTTGAACTTGGTGCTGATGCAGACAAGATAGATATTTCGGCGTTACTAGATGGTCTGCAAACATCAGCTAATATTGGGGATTATATTTCAGTAGAAACCAATGCTGATGGTAAAGCAGTGATTAGTATTGACCGTGATGGTGCGAGTAATGAATTTTCTGCGTCAGATCTTTTGGTTTTGGATAATATTTCTCCAGCAGATTTAAACTTAACAAATGACGAACTGTTAAATAATCTGTTAAGTAATAATCAAATTGTTTACTAAACAGTAAATGTGTAATTAATGAAAAGGTACTGTGTGACGATATGTGCACAGTACCTTTTTGCTATCTGAATAGAGATATATTTGAAGTATTGTCAAATAAAAAAGCCCCCATCTTTCGATGAGGGCTTTTTTGAATTTGGAGCGGGAAACGAGACTCGAACTCGCGACCCCAACCTTGGCAAGGTTGTGCTCTACCAACTGAGCTATTCCCGCGTATTGAGCAGTTTTTATAAAAACTTACACTAAAAAATGGAGCGGGAAACGAGACTCGAACTCGCGACCCCAACCTTGGCAAGGTTGTGCTCTACCAACTGAGCTATTCCCGCGTATTGAGCAGTTTTTGCTAAAACTTACACTGAAAAAAATTTGGAGCGGGAAACGAGACTCGAACTCGCGACCCCAACCTTGGCAAGGTTGTGCTCTACCAACTGAGCTATTCCCGCATAGCGCTGTATGATACAGCAAGCAAGTTCAGGGTCAATAGCTTTATGAAAAAGCTGAGTTTAATTGCATAAAATAAAGCCAGTTTTAGACGATGCCTTGAGATTTTCTTAACTTTTACTCGCGAAAAGTTGTGCCTCATACTAGTGAAAAGAGTTTTACGCATTCAACATCTCGAAGGAACAGGTATACTCTGAACGAATCATTATTTTTGGAGACAGGTATGAGCTTGGAGCAGCAATTGATTGAACGCTTACAACAGCTTTCCCCATCACATTTAGAAGTCGTGAATGAATCTTCTGGTCATGGCGGCTATTTTCCGGGTAAAGAGTCACATTTTAAAGTGATCGTGGTGAGTGATATTTTTGCGGGATTACGTTTAGTTCAGCGCCATCAAAAAATTTATGCGGTAGCAGGAGAGTTACTCAGTCCAGGTAAAATTCATGCTTTGGCTATACATGCCTTTTTACCCGCAGAATGGCAAGGACAAGACACTTCTAGTCCAAATTGTGCACATGCCCCGAAAAGCTAAGCAGAGATTCAGTCATGGAAACACAATTATTGATTAAGATCGTGCATATGAGTGCGGTCAGCTTGGCATGTGTCGTGATTTTGGCGCGTGCCATGACGCTATTTAAAGGCGTCCAAGGCAATCAGCCCAATCCAGCAGGTCGAACAGCTTTTGTAGCCCTTCAGCACTTAAGTATGCTGGTGATTGTACTGACCGGGATTGCCCTTTTGGTCATGAAAAACTTTGATGTGCAAACATGGTTTTATGCCAAAGTGGTTTTATTTTTAGTGATGTTATCTTCTTTGTCGAAAGCTTATAAAAAAGAAGACAGCATTTTACTTACACAGCGCCGAGCGGGCTTATTCTTGGCGGTGGTAGCGATGATATCCATTTTAGGTTTAGTCATGATTAAACCAAACTTTGGCTAATTGTTAGACATAATCATCGGCACAGCGATTGTTCTGCGCTACACTGCTATCTATAGCGGAAAAATAACAAGAGGGAGGGGATTTCATGCATACACGTGTGGTATTTAATCAAAAAGGTGGTGTCGGTAAGTCCAGTATTGCAGTAAATTTGGCGGCAATTAGTGCACATCAAGGCCTAAGAACCTTACTGATTGATCTCGATCCGCAAGCGAATTCGAGTCAGTATGTGCTGGGCGATGACGCAACGTACTCGGCAGACAAACCAGCTTTAGAACCCAATATTGAAAACTATTTTGAAGAAGTGCTTGGAACGACTCAAAATAAAAGTTTATTGGGTAGTGCCATTGGTTCGATCCTCAAAGGGCGAGCTAAAGGTTTAGAAAGTTATGTACATCAATCCCCTTTTAAAAATTTGGATGTGATTCCAGCCAGCCCAAGCCTCGGGGCATTGGCTTATGCTTTAGAGTCAAAACATAAAATTTATAAACTGCGTGATGCGTAAGTGCACATCAAGGCTTAAAAACCTTATTGATTGATCTCGATCCGCAAGCGAATTCGAGTCAGTATGTGCTGGGCGATGACGCAACGTATTCGGCAGACAAACCAGCTTTAGAACCCAATATTGAAAACTATTTTGAAGAAGTGCTTGGAACGACTCAAAATAAAAGTCTATTGGGCAGTGCCATTGGTTCGATCCTCAAAGGACGAGCTAAAGGCTTAGAAAGTTATGTACACCAATCCCCTTTTAAAAATTTGGATGTGATTCCAGCCAGCCCAAGCCTCGGGGCATTGGCTTATGCTTTAGAGTCAAAACATAAAATTTATAAACTGCGTGATGCGTTACAACAGCTTGCTGGAAAATATGATCGTGTCTATATCGATACACCACCAGCCTTTAACTTTTTTACCTTGTCGGCATTGATTGCAGCCAATAAAGTCCTGATTCCGTTTGATTGTGATGTCTTTTCTAAACGTGCATTGCAAACTTTGATCGAAAATGTGCTCGAAACTCAAGACGATCATAATGATCATTTGGAAATTGAAGGCATTGTGGTGAATCAGTTCCAAGCGCAGGCCAAACTTCCGCGTGAAGTGGTGCAACAGCTGAAGGATGAAGGTCTTCCTGTACTAGAAAGTATGTTGCCCCCATCGGTGCTGATGAAAGAATCGCATCACAAAAATTTACCCTTAATTCATTTGGCACACGATCATAAATTGACGCAGGCCTATCAATCATTGTTCAATGAGATTGAGAATAATAAATTGCGAGATTCAGCATGAAAAAGATCACAATTGCTTTTTTAGTGGGCAGTACGCTGTTATTGAGCGCCTGTGCCACAACGGTTAAACCGACTTATGTCTCTCCTACACAGTATCAAGCTTTGAACTGCCAACAGTTACAAGCAGAATATAATCGGATTCAGCAACATTTAGATGAAGGTGTACCTACTGCGAAACGTACGGGTGTCGGCGTGGGGCTAGGTCTGGGTGGTGGATGGAGTCATGGTGGCGGTTGGGGCTTTGGTCCAAGCGTTTCAGTGAATATGGGACAATCATCGAATACCAAAAAAACTGAAATTTCACGACTTTTGGGTCAGCAAGAGGCGATTGTACAGGCTGCAAAATTCAAAGGCTGTGCGATTACCGTGCAAAATAAGACGAATTAATGCCGCATTTATTCATCCTGCTGAAGGGTTCATCCTTTCAGCAGCATTAAAATCTTAGCAAAATGTTTCGAAAATAATTTCAATAAAACAATGGACTATCGTTTTAACACGCACTTTTCTACCTCATGGGTTCTGTGTTTTTTTCGGCTTTGACTTGAGGAAACAGCTCTTTTTCGGCTAAATTGCGCATCTTTAATGCTGTTGTTGGATGTCTATGATTGAGAGTTGGCTGTTTGTATTGGCAATGATTGCTGTCTTGATGATTCCGGGACCAACCAATGCTTTACTCGCAAGCTCTGCACATCAGCAAGGTCTGGCGAAGACCAGCTTACTTGTACCCGCAGAACTGTTTGGGTATTTCTATGCCATCAATTTATGGGCACTCCTGATTCATCTCAGTACACCGACTTGGCCTTATCTGATAGACCTTTTACATGCACTCAGTGCAGTCTATGTGTTCTGGCTGGCTTTTCATTTATGGAAAAGCTCGCACTTAGAAAAACATAATCAACGTTTTACCTCGATTCGACCTAAACAATTGTTTTTTTCTACTTTGAAAAATCCGAAAGCGGTCTTATTTGCTGCGGGTATTTTTCCCTATGAAGCTTGGGATAATCCCACCAATTTCTTTTTGGTGTTTGCGGTGTTTAGTCTGGTGTTATTGCCAACGGCACTGTTCTGGATGTCTTTTGGCCGTGCCATTTTATCGGGTGAGTCCAAACAAATAAAAGCCGATCTCTTATATAAAGGATCGGCCATGTTGTTGGTGGTGTGTATGTTTCCCGTGATTCTACGTTTTTTTGCTTAAGCTTCAGTGGTTGATTTTTTCTTTAATTTGGCACGAATAAAACCAATGATCCCCGGCAAGACACTAATAATAATAATGCCGAAAATCAGATGCGTGAAATTGTCTTTGACCACAGGCACATTACCAAAAATATAGCCTAAAGTAATGAATGATCCAATCCAGCAGAATGCACCAATCAGGTTATAAGACAGGAAAAATTTGTAGTCCATTTTTCCTGCGCCTGCCACAAAAGGTGCAAAGGTGCGCGCAAAGGGAATAAAACGTGCAAAAATAATGGTTTTACCACCATGTTTTTCAAAGAATTTTTGTGTATTTATCAGGTGTTGTTTATTAATAAAACGTGACTCGATTTCAAAAACACGCGGCCCAATATAACGACCAATGTGATAATTCAGCGTATCGCCTAGTACGGCTGCGACAAAAAGTAAAACACCAAGAGTCCATGGATTCATTGCACCCGTCGATGCTGCTAAGGCACCTGCAGCAAACAATAAACTGTCGCCGGGTAGGAACGGCATGACCACCAAACCTGTTTCCACAAAGATGATGAGAAACAAAATTGCATAAATCCAAACCCCATAGTTGGTGATAAACTCAAGCAGATGGTCATCGACATGTAATATAAAATCAATCAGTTCCATGGGGCACAAATAAGCAAAAGAGTGCGGAAATCCTAGCAGTCTCGTTATCAGAAGTCAGTATTAAAACGTAAATAAATTTAGCTATTGGTGTTCTTATTTTGAAACGATGCGTGATGAAAATGCATATTTATTCTAAAAATAGAGAACATTAAGATAGCTACAACTTCAAATAAAACGTATTTAAAGGTGTAAAAATGTTTAATCCAAATGTTGTGGTCAAAAATATTGTCAATCAACCCAATACCGATGCAGTTTTAGCTTTAATTGCCCGTGTACTTATGGCTTATATTTTCCTTGTTGCAGGCTGGGGAAAAATTTCAGCTTATAGCGCAACTGTAGGGTATATGGAGTCTATGGGTGTTCCCGGAGCGCTATTACCTTTAACCATTTTAGTTGAGTTTGGTGGTGGCTTAGCGCTGTTATTTGGTTTTCAAGCCCGCTTTGCTGCGTTTGGTTTAGGTCTATTTAGTATAATTACTGCGTTTATTTTTCACGATGGCGCGCAAGACAGCATTAATTTTATGAAAAACTTTGCCATGGCGGGTGGTTTATTTTTTCTAATGCTGCATGGTGCAGGAAAAATGAGTCTAGATCATCTGATTGAAAAATAATTCAAAATGAAAAGCAGCATTCACGATGCTGCTTTTTTATTTACAAAAAAGTACGGTGTGGACGTCCATTTTTTGTTTTGATCAAGATCAATAAAACATGAGGAAAATAAGATGAAAAATCTTTTTAAAATAGGGTTATGTATTACAAGTTTAAGTCTTGCCGCTGGTGCATGGGCTAAGGATGACCATATCATTTTACAAGAAGCAGCAAAGAATCATGTCTCTGTGTCAGCCATTGCAAAGCTCAAAGATGAAACGGCGGTCACTTTAAAAGGGACACTGCTGAAACATCTCAATGAAGACCACTACGAGTTCAGCGATGGTACAGGGGTTATTTTGTTGGATATTGATGACGATTTATGGAAAGCATCCAATATTAAAGCAGGCGATAAAGTGCAGGTTGTGGGAGAGGTGGATACACATCGTTATAAACCGACCGATATTGAAGTCGTTAAAATAGAAAAAGTTTTGAAATAAACATCAGGCACGCGAAAGCGTGCTTTTTGATATAAAAACCATTGGGTTTTAAGCGTTGTATAAAGCTTGTCCGAATTATGTGCGTTATGCGCGGAAAAATGCTAGAATACGGCGCTTATATTCGTTTGCCTTTCATAGTTGTTTGTCATGACTACCAATACTCAAATTACTGAAGATCGTATCCTTATTTTGGATTTCGGTTCTCAATATAGCCAGCTTATTGCACGCCGCGTACGTGAAGCTGGCGTATATTCTGAAATGTATGCCTATGACATGTCTGAAGAAGACATTCGTGCATTTAATCCAAACGGTATCATCTTGTCAGGTGGTCCTGAGAGCGTACACGAAGAAGGCAGCCCACGTGCGCCAGAAGTTGTGTTCAACTTAGGTGTACCAGTTTTGGGTATTTGCTATGGCTTACAAACCATGTCTGCACAGCTTGGCGGTAAAGTTGAGCCGGGTACTGTACATGAATTCGGTTATGCCGAAGTAAACATCCAAGTTCGTGACAAGTTGATTGGTGATCTTGAAGACACCAAAGACCAACTTAAAGTCTGGATGAGCCATGGTGACAAAGTGACAGCGATTCCTGAAGGTTTCCAAATCACTGCAAGCACACCAAGCTGTCCAGTGGCGATGGTTTCTGATGAAACGCGTCGTTTTTACGGGATTCAGTTCCACCCAGAAGTAACGCACACTGCAAAAGGTGCAGAGTTATTATCGAACTTTGTACACAGCATTTGTGGCTGTCGTAGCCTGTGGAACTCTGAAAACATCATTGACTTACGCGTTGAACAATTACGTCAACAAATTGGCGATCAAAAAGTTCTTTTAGGTCTGTCTGGTGGTGTTGATTCATCAGTGGTTGCTGCGCTTTTACACCGTGCGATTGGCGATCAATTGACTTGTGTATTCGTTGACAACGGCCTGCTTCGTTTGAACGAAGGCGAGCAAGTGATGGACATGTTTGCGAAAAACATGGGTATCCGTGTGATTCGTGCCGATGCTGAAGAGCGTTTCTTGACTGCACTTGCGGGTGAAGTTGATCCTGAGAAAAAACGTAAAATCATTGGTCGTGAGTTCATTGAAGTTTTTGCTGAAGAAGCGCGTAAACTTGATGGCGTAAACTTCCTTGCTCAAGGGACGATTTACCCAGACGTGATCGAATCTGCTGCAACCAAAAATGGTAAAGCACATGTGATTAAATCTCACCACAATGTGGGCGGTTTACCAGATGACTTAGCTTTTGAATTGGTTGAGCCAATCCGTGATTTGTTTAAAGATGAAGTACGTCGTTTAGGTACAACTTTAGGTTTACCGTTTGAAATGCTATATCGTCATCCATTCCCAGGTCCAGGTTTGGGCGTGCGTATTTTGGGTGAAGTGAAGAAAGAATATGCAGACATTTTACGTCTTGCAGATGACATCTTCATGCAAGAGCTTCGTGCCAGCGGTTGGTATGATAAAACTGCGCAAGCCTTTGCTGTATTCCAACCGGTGAAATCTGTTGGCGTCGTAGGTGATGGTCGTCGTTATGCATGGGTGATTGCACTTCGTGCCGTTGAAACGGTTGACTTTATGACAGCGCGTTTCGCACATCTTCCTTATGATTTGGTTGATAAGATTTCGACTCGTATCATGAACGAAATTAAAGATGTTTCTCGTGTTGTTTATGACGTATCGTCTAAGCCACCAGCAACGATTGAATGGGAGTAAATTTGGGCTTTCTAAAAGCGATAGCTTTTAGCCAAATTTACGCCAAGAGCTGTGCTCGCGGCAGTGAATGAGAAATAACTTTGAAAAGAGCGCTTAGGTGCTCTTTTTTTATGTGTATCGCTTAATCATAGATCAGCAAGTTCATCTACATTAGTTTGTCCAATTTCATTGATGACTGAATTCAACTAAAAACATGCAGCATTTATCATTTTAAAATACTCGAACAGAGCTAAAACATTCCTTAGAAAGATGTAACAACATTTTTACATCCACTCATTGCCTTGTAGTTAGGTTTTGAAAACACAAGATATTGTCCCAAGTTTAAGAATCAGCATTCTATTTTTAGGGATGTGCAGTTGGGAATCTGCTTGTTATGATCTAGGACATATGGATCTGTAATGAGTAAGCACATGACGAATAATAACTATACTGAACTTTCACATTCGGATGACTGTGAAAAATACGTAAATCAATTCATTCAAGAGTTTCCACTGAGAAGTGCTGAAATCGGCCAAGGGACGGTCATCAAACGCGCACTGCCAAGTCGCCATAAACGAATGATTGGTGCATGGTGTTTCTTAGATCACGCAGGCCCTGTAACCTTCCCACAAGGGGACGGTTTAGATGTTGGCCCACATCCACATATCGGTTTGCAAACCTTTACATGGATGATTGAAGGCACCATGATGCATACCGATAGTTTGGGTAGCAAACAGTTGATTCGTCCAAAACAGGTCAATTTAATGACCGCAGGACACGGGATTTCCCATACGGAAGTCGCACCAGATACAGAAACCAAAATGCATGCAGCACAATTGTGGATTGCATTGCCCGATGCACAAATTGCTGTTGAACCACGTTTCGATCACTATCCAGAACTGCCAGTGGTGGAAAAAGATGGGGTGGAGTTTACTGTTTTGGTTGGAGAGTTTTTAAATACCACTTCACCTGTGAGTGTTTATACCGAGCTATTAGGGGTGGACTTAAGCGCAACAGAAAGCACCAAAACCCGTTTAACACTCAATCCAAACTTTGAATATGGCTTTATGGCTTTAGAAGGAACGGCCACGGTCAATGGGCACGAACTGACGGAAGACAATATGGTGGTACTCGAGCAGGGTGTAAGTGCGATTGAAATTGAAATCCATGCTGGCAGCCGCTTGTTACTGTTAGGTGGTGAGCCATTTGAAAGTCCAATTTTACTGTGGTGGAATTTTGTCGGACGGACTCAAGAAGAATTGAAAATTGCGCGTGATCAGTGGATTGCACAAGATGAACGTTTTGGTTCAATTCCTGACTATGAAGGCCCACGTTTGGAAGCTCCAGCATTTCCAGACCAAATGCGCGCTTCAAAATAAAAGGAATACTGCGAAAAGTCGTTTAACAACAGAATAGGTGGACAGTTTCAATACTTGAAACCTATTCAAAAAAGATAAATGAAAAATAGGATAATAAAAAAATGGCAATAATTGCGAATGCAGAAGTCAAAACATGCGTCGAAGCATGGTCTGGTGAAGTAAGTAGTGGGCGACATCAATTCATTACCGATAAACCAGCGTCTTTTGGCGGTCAGGACAAAGGCCCAGCACCTTATGACTTTATTTGTACAGGCTTGATTTCCTGCACCATGATTACCCTGCGTATGTATGCACAGCACAAAGGGATCGAGTGGGGGGCTTTTAGTGTCGAAGCAGATTTTAATGCCAATAAAGAAGGCCGAGAATGGATCAGCCGTCGTTTGTCGTTTGAGCAAACATTGACAGAAGAAGCGCGCCAAAAAATCTTAGACATCTGTCAAAAAACACCAGTCACTAAAACTTTATTACGTTCCGTCGAGATTGAAACCTCAATTGTTTAACTCGCTTGACGGTTTTTTATAGGCGGTAAAGGATTTTGTGCGACTGGATATTCATGTGTATCGACAGGTGCAAAATCCAAATTTTAGCGTAAAGTGAGTGCTAGATTTCAATTAAAACAAAAGGCAAAACAATGATCACTCTGCACCATTTGGAACATTCACGCTCTTTACGCATTTTATGGGCTTTGGAAGAGTTAGGGCTGGAGTATGAGGTGAAGTTTTATAAACGCCTACCGACCTATTCTGCACCACCTGAGTTAAAAAACATTCATCCCTTAGGTAAAGCACCCGTTTTGACCGATGGTGATTTGGTCATAGCAGAATCTGCGGTGATTTTAGAATACTTGCAAGCCACCTACGATACGGAGCACAAGTTTAAACCGAAAAATCCAAAGGACTTAATGCAATACAACTACTGGATGCATTATGCCGAAGGCTCGTTGATGCCATATTTGGTTATGACCTTGGTGATGAGTAATGTACCCAAGCATGTTCCATTTCTAATTAAACCGCTTGCCAATAAAATTTGTGATGGGGTGAAAGGCGGTTTTATTAATCCACGCTTGAAAGAGCACAGTGCATATTTGGAAAATTATTTATCTCAACATGACTATTTTGCAGGTGATTTTTCCTTTGCCGATATTCAAATGAGCTTTCCTGTGGTGGCGATGCAAGAGCGGGTAAAAGCCCATAATCCTCAAATGGTTGCTTATGCACAGCGTATTCAGCAGCGCCCAGCCTTTAAAAAAGCCAAAGAGCTCAGTGGGTTCTAGTGGGTGGTGATGATTTGAACCTGATTTTTTTGCCCGGTGCATCGGGCAATACCGTATTTTGGCAACCTGTCATACAGCGCCTTCCTCAGGACGATTCAACCATGGTCGTCGCTTATCCGAGCTTTGGTGGCTATCCTGATGATGTGGATATACAGAGTTTTGAGGGCTTACAAGACGATGTATTGAATCAAATCCAACAGCCTTCTGTGGTTATTGCACAATCCATGGGCGGCATTTTTGCAGTACAAGCTGCCCTAAAAAAACCTGAGCAGGTGCAGGCTTTGGTACTTGTGGCAACCTCAGGCGGCATTGATTTAAGTCCTTTTCAGGTGGCGGATTGGAGAGAGGATTATCAACAGAGCTTTACTGTTCCTGATTGGTTTGTTCAGCATCAGTCTGATTTGACAGACAGTCTGGAGCGTATCCAGTGTCCAGTTTTGTTGATTTGGGGCGATGCAGATCCGATTAGTCCTGTTGCGGTGGGGCAGTTCTTACACCATCAAATACCACATGCTGAATTGCACATCGTGTCACAGGGGCAACATGATTTGGCTTATGTGCATGCAGAGCATGTTGCGCAATTGATTCAAAATTTTCTCGTCAAACTCAGAGTATAAAAAAGGATGCCGAGGCATCCTTTTTTTTGTTTTAGCGTTTGACCACAATCGAATCAATGCCGCTATGTTGTAGGGTTTGCTGTGCAATCACTGCAGCTTCTTGCGAGTCATATGGCCCTGAAATCACGCGATACCATGTTTGGCCGCCTTCAACGGTTTTGACGACATCGGCAGAGAGACCATTTAAGATAATTTCTGCACGACGTGCATCGGCACTGTCTGGGTCAGGGTAACTGCGGACTTGCAATATAAAACTTGGCGCTTGCGGTGTCGGTGCTGCTTCGGTTAAACCCGGTTCAGCAGGGGTGCTTTCTTCGGCAGCAGGTGCTTCAACAATCACCACAGTGCTTGGATTGTCTTTGGTTTCAGGAATGGCTTGATCTGGAATCGGCGTCACTTGCTGCTGTGGCAGTAAGTCGTAGAAACGGTAGTCTTTATTGGTTTCTTCTTGATAATGTTCCGAAGTGATTTGACCTTTCGGCTTCACTGGTGCCCAAGGCTTCCACAGTAATAGTGCTACAGCAAAACAGAGCACGATTAAAATGACCACAAGTGTACCGAGCCAAGCTGGAATCAGTGGCTTTTTGGGTTTGTTCGGTCTTTCAGATACACCGCGCTGCGTTTTTCCAAACACGTGGAAACCTCTTTTCTTCTAATCAATATGAGGGACTGGCCCATTCTTTTCTTTATTTTAATACTTGGCCTCAAGGGATTAAAAGAGGCGTCATCGTAAAATAAAGAATCGCTTTGCAAAATTCAAGTTTCACAAAGCGAGCAATACATCAGGGTTGATATGGCTACTTCGGGCATAGCCCTTCATCTTGCGACGATGTGCAAAGCGTTGCTTTTTACATCGTTACCTCAAGCATAGCTTTCGGTCTTGCAGCCATGTGTGAAGCTTTGCTTCACTTATTACATGGCTTCAGGTGCAGACACACCTAGTAACTCTAAACCATTACGCAAAACTTGTTGTACGTTTATTGAAAGTAATAAACGGGCTTGCGAAAGGGCAATATTCTGTTCGTCGATAATTCTTGTATTATCCAAGTTATACCAACCATGGAATAACGCTGCGAGTTCTTTCAAATAGTTACCCACTTGGTGTGGTTCATAGCTATTTGCAGCACGAAGCACAATTTCTGGATAGGCTGCAAGTTTGGCAAGAATTTCAGTTTCAGCATCAAGAGTTAATAAGGTCGCATCGTAATCAGCTGCTTTGCTACGATCAAAACTAATGCCTTTTTCAGGTGCTTTCACATCGACCATACGATTGACACGTGCATGCGCATACTGGATGTAGTACACCGCATTGTCTTTGCTTTGTGAAACTGCAAGGTCTAAGTCAAAGTCAATGTGTTGCTCAGACTTACGCATCACGTAGTAGAAACGCGCAGCATCGTTGCCCACTTCTTTACGCAGGTCACGTAAAGTCACGAACTGACCAGAACGAGATGACATTTGTACCATCTCACCACCACGCCATAGGCTGACGAACTGAACCAATAGAACGGTGAGTTTTTTCGAGTCATAACCTAAGGCATCAATGGCTGCTTTGACCCGTGAAATATAGCCATGGTGGTCTGAGCCCCAGATATCAATGATATCGGTATAGCCACGTTGTAATTTATTCAGGTGATAAGCAATGTCAGAAGCAAAGTAAGTGGTTTGTCCATTACGACGCTTCACAACACGGTCTTTTTCATCGCCAAATTCAGTCGATTTGAACCAAATATTGCCGTCTTTTTCGTATAAGAAACCACGTTGTTCTAAAGTTTCTAAAGCTTCATCAATTTTGTCTGTCAATGAGGCTTCGCTGAACCATTGGTTAAAGGTTACGCCAAACTCGCCCAAGTCATCTTTGATGTCATCTAAGATTGCATTCAGCGCTGCTTGGTGGAATACGCGGTAAGCTTCACCGATTAAGCTTTGTGAATTATGGATTAAACCATCAATGTGCTTTTCTTTGTCGCCTGAAAGGACAACTTTATTGCCTTCAGCATCGAGTTCTTCTGCATATTGCACATCTTCAGGGACATCTTTATAGACGTCTGCCACAGGGCGGACGTAGGCATCGCCATCAGCATCGATAATGCTTTGCGCGATTTCTTTAACATAATCGCCTTGATAGGCATTTTTAGGGAAAACCAGTTCTTGGCCTGTTAATTCGAGGTAGCGTAAATAGGTAGATGTTGCAAGGATGTCCATTTGACGGCCTGCATCATTCACATAATATTCACGGTCTACCGTTGCACCTGTTGCTTCAAGCAAGGTTGCAACCGTCATCCCATAGGCTGCGCCACGACCATGACCAACGTGCAAGCTAGACGTTGGGTTGGCAGAAACGAATTCTACTTGTATTTTTTTCGCAGCATTGGCTTGAGTGCGACCAAATTGCTTGCCTTGCGCTTGAATTTGATCAAGTACAGCAAAACGTTGGTCAGCATTTAAAAAGAAGTTAATAAAGCCAGGGCCTGCGATTTCTGCTTTGCTGATGTCCGCCACTTCAGGCAGTGCAGCAAGAATTTTTTCGGCTAAATCACGTGGCTTCATACCCGCAGCTTTAGAGGCAATCATCGCGATATTGGACGCGAAGTCACCGTGGCTTCGGTCTTTGGTACGCGTCAAATTACTGCTGTTGTTCCAGTCTGCTGGAAGGACGCCTTCAGCTTGAAGGTTTTGCACTGCGTGCTCGAGAGCTGCTTGGATTGCCGTGTTCATATTCAGTCGAAAATTTGATGTCGCAGAAAAACGCTAAATATAGCAAATTTCCACGTCTTTAGGTGAATCCATTTTCATAGAATAAAAAATGTTCGAAAACTGCTAACGATTGCGCTGCAATAAACATGAAAAGCGCAGTATGATGAAAACTAAAACGCATACTTTTAAGGATAAAACGTGTCTGAACAGCGGCCCATGATCATTGGGAATATTCCCAAGTTACCAGCAAAATATGCCATGTTTATTTTGCCATTTTTTATCTCATTTTTTATGAGTGGCATTATCTCGATGATCAATCTTTGGCGCAATTTGGGCTGGGTGGACAATTTCCTACAGGTTTGGCTGTCCGCATGGATGATGTCTTGGGTGGTGGCTTATCCTGTAGTGCTCATTGTACTGCCGATTGTGCGCCGTTTGACTGGTGTGTTTGTCGATATGTCACATTTGAACCCACCCAAATAAGCCCCATTTTAGCTATTTTCACGGCATGAAACAGGTTTGCTCAGGAGTTCCGCATTTTGGTTTTGAAAACGATACAGTTTGCTTGCATGAAAGAGCTTAATCACTTTGGCACTGGCAAGCTGTTGTTGAAAACGACTCAGGGTTTGGCGTTGAAATGGATCAAAGGGATTGCCGTAGTTTTTGTTGTCGAGTAAAAACTGAATCTGTCCTGCTTCTTTATCATAACCATATAAAATACGTTTACCTTGCGCATCTTGAAGCTCAAACGTAGGCGGATGGCTGCTGATTGTACAATTCAGATGTAGTGAGAGCACAAAGCCTTCAGTTGATTTGTTTTGTAGTTGATAAATGCCTTGTTTTTCATTCTCCAAATAGACCCATTGGTTCAAGGGTAAATTTGCACTGAGTTGCTCATATTGCTCGATGGTGGCTTTACTGATATCGACAATGCCTTTTTGATCAATTTCAGGCAGTTTTTCGTTATGACCAAATAGTCCTGTAATTTTATTACTCACTGTCGTTTGCGCCGTAGAAATGGACTGGCATGCTGTCATTTGCGTGATGTAAAGACATGTAAGGCTCAACAACATCAATTTTTTGATGATCATTTTTAATATAAAGAAGAAATAAAAGCGCTAGCTTAGCTTGAGCTTTATTCAAGTTCAAATTTTATCCAGGCGCTATTTGGCTGAAAGATTGCCGCAAACTTGATTTTTATTTTCAGACTAAATCGCTTTGATAATTGCATCACGCTTATAAATATCAAAAGACGAGCAAATGGCGCTAAGCTAGTAGCCGAATTAGATGCATAGATTCTCCCCATAGGTTCATCTAAATCTATGTATAACGAGATAGGTAATGACGACAGAATATTTAAAGACAAAACAACCCTTATACATCCCTTATGCGGGCAATACCTTACTTGAGTTGCCGCTGTTAAATAAAGGATCGGCGTTTACGGAAGAAGAGCGCACTCGCTTCAACTTGCATGGTTTAATTCCACATGTTGAAGAAAGCATTGAAGAACAAAGTCAGCGTTCTTATCAACAGTATTGTGCTTTTAATGATGCGATCAATAAGCACATTTACTTGCGTAACATTCAAGACACCAACGAAACCTTGTTCTATCACCTCATTGAAAACCATTTAAGTGAGATGATGCCGATCATCTATACTCCAACGGTGGGTGAGGCTTGTCAGCGTTTCTCGGATATTTATCGCCGCCATCGTGGCACATTTATTTCCTATCCAGACCGTGCGCATATTGATGACATCTTGCATAACATCAACAAGAAAAATGTCAAAGTCATTGTGATTACCGATGGCGAGCGTATTTTAGGCTTGGGTGATCAAGGTATTGGCGGGATGGGTATTCCGATTGGAAAGTTGTCGCTGTATACCGCGTGTGGTGGTATTAGCCCAGCTTATACGTTACCAATTACCCTCGATGTCGGGACCAATAATCAGCAGTTACTGAATGACCCGATTTATATGGGTTGGAATCAACCGCGTATCAGTGGTGATGAGTACTATGCTTTTGTCGATGAAGTGATTGCTGCGATCAAGCGTCGTTGGCCGAAAGCCTTAATTCAATTTGAAGACTTCGCGCAAAATAATGCCATGCCGTTATTGAATAAGTACCGTGATGAAATCTGTTGTTTTAATGATGATATTCAAGGTACCGCAGCCGTTTCTGTGGGCAGTTTGATTGCTGCATCACGTGCGGCAGGTAAACAGCTCAAAGATCAAACCGTTGCCTTCTTAGGTGCGGGTTCAGCAGGCTGTGGGATTGCTGAGCAAATTGTTGCGCAGATGAAAGTTGAGGGTTTAACTGATGCCGAAGCGCGTGCACGCGTGTATATGGTCGATCGTTTTGGTTTAATCACTGAAAATCAGCCGAATCTACTCGATTTCCAACGTAAATTGGCGCAAAAGCCAGACGTGATAGCGGAATGGGGCAATGCTGAAGAGGTGATTTCACTGCTCGATGTCGTGAAAAATGCCAAACCTACTGTGTTGATTGGAGTATCGGGTCAGCCGGGTTTATTCACTGAAGAAGTGATTCGCACTTTGGCGTCGAACTGTGATCGTCCGATTGTGTTGCCACTGTCTAATCCAACGTCGCGTGTAGAAGCAGTGCCAGCAGATATTATTCACTGGACGGACGGCAAGGCTTTGATTGCGACGGGCAGTCCTTTTGCTCCAGTCAACTATCAAGGCAAAATTTATAATATTTCGCAATGCAATAACTCGTATATCTTCCCAGGCATTGGGTTGGGCGTGATTGCGGCCAATGCAACCCGTGTGACCGATTCGATGCTGATTGCATCGAGTAATGCTTTGGCAGATTGCTCACCGATGTTGACCAACCCTACAGCAGATTTATTGCCTGAGATTGATGAAATTCAGAAAGTCTCTAAGCTGATAGCCTTCAAAGTGGCCAAAGCAGCAATGGATGCAGGTGTAGCCCCGATTATTAGTGATGAGCAATTGCAACACGCGATTGAGAAAAACTTCTGGAAGCCAGAGTATCGTCACTATAAACGTGTCGCCTTCTAAAGCTGAAAATGAGATTGAACAAAAAGGAGCGTAATGCTCCTTTTTGTTTTTTGAGAGCTGCGTCTTCATTAACATTATTTTACTAGATTAAAAAAAAGACATTTTGTACACTCCGCGCACAAGTATAAAAACCAATAACTTAATAATGATCATGTTCAATTCTATTTATAAAATGCTGGAATCCTTTGGGTTTGGCTCGCAAAAACGTGCTGTGCATATTCATTTTTCCAATCTGGCTTTGAACACACAGGTGTTTATTCAGCGCATTGAGGGCGAACACCGAATTAATCAAGGCTTAAAAGCTGAAATTCTATGTCTATCGACCAATGCTTATCTGCCTTTAAAACAGTTCATTGGTGGACGTGTCGCGGTTGATCAGGTCACGGATGTGGGGCAGCTGTCTCGTCTGACGGGAGTGATTACCAGTGCCAGTCAGGGGCAAAGTGATGGTGCACTAACTGTTTATAAACTGACGATTGAAGATGCAACAGCGCTGTGGCATAAGCGCAGAAACAGTCGCGTGTTTATGAGTAAAAGTGTTCGTGAAATCACTGAAACTCTGTTTAGCGAATGGCAAAGTCACAGTACATTATTTGCAGCCAGCTTAAGCCTGAACTTAGATGGTTTGAGTCGTGATTATGATGTACGCCCCTTTGTCATGCAGTCTAATGAAACCGACGCTGAGTTTCTCACTCGACTATGGCGGAGTGAAGGTATTAATTGGTTGATCGATGAACAAGCTCCGACGGTGCTCAGTTCGTCCGAACCGATTCAGGCACAGCAACTTCGTTTGATGGATGATAATCAAGCTTTTACAGCACTGGGCCGCCGAAAGATTCGTTTCCACCGCAGCCATGCCACCGAGCCTTTTGATAGCATCACCAGTTTTATTGCTGAACGTCACTTACAGTCCACCACGGTACAGACGCAGCGTTGGCAAGCGCAACATTTAGCTCAAGATCAGAGTCAGGCTGTATTGAGTGCGCATCAGCACAGTGATCAACAAGACAATGAAAGTTTGGGTCTGGAACAAGTCTGGTGTGTCAGTCCAGCATGGACGGCTGATCTACAAGGTCAAGATCAGGTCACGCTTGCCAATAGCAGTCA